TCTCGCTGCGTAGATTAGATCGGGAACAAATGGAACATATGTTTGCCCTTCTGTAGGGGAAGGCCAGCAGATGCCTGCTCTGGCCACCATCAGGAGCGGGGCGCTCTTGCACACCTGCCAAAGGCAGGCAAACAGAGGCCATCCCTACTGGTTGTCAGGCAACCTCCAATGCTCTGCTGCCACCACCGACCTTCCCGCGTGCCATGGCTCTTGGCTCAGGCAGCCCAGAAAAGGCGGGAGGTGTGGGGAGTGAACAGGGAGTCTTCCTGCTCAACTGGACACAGCTTCTCAGTGGCAGGGGAGCAGGCGGGGCAGAGAGTACAAGAGTTTCCCTTCTGGTCCCAGGGCTGCTCCCACAGCTCCAGGACTGCACAGCCCCACTGCACCAGCCACTGCTCCCAGCTCAGTCAGGAGGTAGCCCAGAACAGGTAGAGTGGGAAGGGGGGGAAGCAGAGGCCCTGGACCCCCAGACCAGAATGGTGCACAGCAGGGGCAGCCCCTCTTTCCCACTGACTGGCCCCACACAGCTTCTGTCTCTTGCCAGCTGTTAGCAGAGACAGAAGCTGTGCTGGTCCAGTCATCAGGGGAGAGGGGCAGCCCCCATCACATGTCCTCTGTCCAACTGTTCTTTCTGGGTCTGGGGGGGCAGGGGCCTGTGCTCCCCCCTCCCCACCAGCTGCCGGGCCTGGCCAACAGGTGTAGGCAGGATGTAGGGCATGGGAGCACAGGCTTTGCTGCCTCAGATCTGTAACAGCTCACCTGCCTTGCAAAGCAGTGTTAGAGGAGATCAAAAAGGATCCTGGGATGCCAGAGGACAGCAACCTAAGTTGAGTCAGGAGGGGATGGGGTACAGATGTTCAGTAAATCAGTCTAACCTAAATGTATTCAATCTGATACTGCATCCATCCAGGTCTACCTTAAACTGGGTTCCACCATTTTATACCAGTCTCTGTGCACTAAACTTCTGCTCTTTTACAGGTTTAGACCAGTTTTTGATCACTTATACCAGTTTATGTGTAATTTCTGTACCTAGCCATAGTGTACAGGGTATTATTTTAAACACTTAAGTATATAGTGTATCTGTTCCAAAACTGTTATCATGGTTAACAATGACAATGCAAGATATTTTTGATTTTCATATAAATATTCAGTTTAGAGCTTGCTAAGTACTAGGTGATAATGCCTTCCTGTGGCAATGAGCTGCACACTTTAATTGCACATGGTGAAAAAAAATCCTTTTGTCAGTTTTGAATTTCCCATCTTTGCCTTGCATTAAATGCCCTACTGTTCTTGTGTTATGAGGCACAGATATTGGGGATTTTCATTTTTCCGCCTTTAGTCTATTAATCATGTTATGTACTTTTTTCCATCTCTCTCTCTCTCTCCCCCCCTTTTTTAACCACTCTTATGAAGAGGAAAGGGGAATAGTCACAATCTTTTCAGTTTTATGAGAGTCTTTCTAGTGCCTCCTTCGTTCTTGTAGCTCTTTTCTGGCAGACTCCTCCTATTGCTGCATTATATTTTTGGAGATTAATGATTTATGCTGCACACATAATTTCACCTGAAGTTACATCAATTCAGGCCACAGGTGGGAGGGTCATCATATATACGGCTGTAACAGAGGTACACTCTGTTATACATACAGTACATTTCAGATCCAATTTACTCGAAGAAAATATATTTCCAAGATGGTTTTACCCCATCCACACTGACCAGGCAAATTTTGTTAGAACATAAGGTCCCTCTCTACACATTATAGATACTGTGCAATGAACTGGTTAATTGCACGATTATCTGGAGACCAGCTGTGTGTGCAAAGTAGCTACCATAAAAAGCTCCATCCAGCTAGAAAGGTAGACCTTGAAAATGTATACTATATAGCTGGTTGCTATCGAGCTTTAATTTGCACATGTAGCAGGGCCTCCTCTGTGGCTGGGAGCCCCATCAGCTGAGCCCCATGCCCAGCATAAAACCCATGGGCCCAGGAAATCATAGTTGCCATGATCCCCAGGGCTCGGCAGCGCGTAAAGCCTCTAGGCCCTGGAGATCCCAGCTGCTAGGATCCCCCAGCCCTGAGAGTTCATGGAGTACCCTCACAGCTCAGAGCCCCTCAACTGAGGGGCTCCCAGCCATGGAGCTCCCCCTGTACTAGCAATCAGGTGAAATTGGATCTAATGCATTATCATACCTCCTGCCATGCACTTGTGGCATAGCACAATGCACGATTGTGTGGATGGTGTGTTAGATTCCACTATGCCTTTACCTGCACATGTAGAGGGGGCTTAATATATCCATAGACAAATTTAATCCTCACTTAAGCACAGGTATTAAATATATGACAGCTTTGCCTTTTACCCATTCAGCCTTGTGAAAGTGGTAAAAGAAGGAACTATAAGGACAATTTTGCCATTTCATCATAGTTCATTTCTGCTCCTGAAATTTGCTTTTTCCATGCAATTCAGCAAAATTATTATTTCCACATCGAAAATATTGCCAACTGTGTATTATTGTATATTTTCAAAGCCAAACCAGCTTCACTCCAAATTGGAATTTTGTTTGCTCCTAAATAAGTACCTTCCTGCTGGAGCAGGTTATCTAGAAAAGGCTTCTGTTTGCTTTGTTAGTAAATGAGTCACTTTCCAAAGAATATGCTCCCAAATTCAAGCAAACTCTTTGGCCCAGATATTTAGATTTCTAAGTCTATGCAGCCACCCCAAAAGATGGGGTCCTTGCTTTGCTTTGGGACAACAATCTGCTTTAATCCTGGGGAGGAAAATAGCTCTCCCATTGTCTCAATGGATTATCACATGCACTTCCAGAGCTTGTAATCATGGAGCAGGAAGTCTCCTGAAGGTAGCCACCAGGAAATACTAGCTGCAGGGTGTGCATAAACTCTGTCCTCTCAGTTGTCTGATTCAGAGCTGCATATGTCATGAGTGTAGGCCCTTCCTAACCCAAGGGGTTTTCACCCACATCTCCCACTTCCTATGAAAGTCCATTAACTACCAAACAGCAGGTAGGCTGAGGATGTCCTTCATTCCATTTGTTTAAACTGGAAAGAAACTGGTAGAAAGGAATGTAAGGGTGGAAACAGACATCACCTTTGTGCCTCTGTACATATTTTTCAAGCAGCCCAAACGAAAAGTAAGCTGATGTCCATACTCCTTTTCATGCTACAAATAAAGGCTGCAACAAAGGTCATATCAATTTATGCCTTTGTTTATCAATGGATGCCTGTTTACTTTATGGCACAAGAGTGTGGGCATCCCAGAGCTGCTTATGCACTCCAGCCATCCTAAGCAGGTACTCTGGGGCATAGAAGGGTCCAGCCCTCTGCATCCTGGGAATTCCTGGGCAGGATCAGGTCCCTTAAGCCCTGGGAGCACTCTCTGGGGCACACCTTGATAAGTAGGGGGTTTCCCAGATTCCCTGATTATGGAGACACAACCCCCCGCAGGGATGCATCTCAGTAAACTAGGAATCTCCAACTTTCCCCTCATACCAGGGCACACCCCAGAGATCCCAGGGTTGCATTTTGGTAAGCAGAGAGAGCTAGGGAGGCACTTCCAGGGCTTTCGAGGCCCAGTCCTGCATGGGAATTCCCAGGGCATGCAAGACTGGGCCCCTCAAGCCCCGAGAGAACATATCACCTGTTGTCCCATAGCATCAATAGATGACATGCATTTCACCCCATGAAAAAGATCAGCTGTGCCTAAGAGCCACAGGACCAGAAAGAGAGTTAGCAAGATGGAGAGCTCACACCCAGTGAAGAATGAGGGGAGGGAAAGCTCCCTGGGTTCTGCTCCCAATGTTGTTTCTTTTCATTAAACAGTCATGGGGAACAGGAGCCAGCACTGTCTGTTATCATTTCCAGTGAACTGGTCTCTAGCAGTATGCTTTACATGTGCAAATGACAAAGCACTGGCGATTTTTTTACTAAAAATATTCTTCCAAAATACTTGGTTGTATTATAGTGCATATTGAAAAGCAAACAGGGCCCAGGGTATAAGCTTGTCCAAGCGCTTTGTGGCATCTGCCTAAAGACAGATAGATTTACTTTAATTAAACAGGTTCAAAGGTGGTCCTAATACAGGGGACTTACAGGAGAAATCTTTGCTACATATGACTGGTAATACTTTTTTCATCTTGGTGGCATAAACTCTGAGGCAAAACATACAAAATATATAGTAAAGGCCCATAGTGTACAGACACAGAAGCCCCACTGAACTGAGCAGGACTTCTGGGCATAAAAGCATTCAGGTTCAGGCTATGCTATGAGGTTGGGTCTCCTTCTGATCTCATTTATGCCTGTTTAACATCAATGTAAGTCCACTGATTTCAGTGAAATTTAACATGATTTAAAAGTCCCATTTTCATTAAACTAGTGAACACGTGTGTAAAAAAAACAAACAACAAAACCCTTTACTGGTGGATGTAATGATTCTGCTCTATAAAGTTTGAAGTGTCTTGAGATGTAGGGCCAGATTAACCCTTTAGTGGGCCCTAGGCAAACAAACTCATGGGTCCCTACTTAATACTGTATATTTATATTACTTTTTTCACTCAATAATTATAAAATGTAGAATAAGCACAGCTGGGCCCCTTCTTCACTTAGGGCCCCAGGCACATGCCTAGTTTGCCTATGCATTAATCCAATGCTGTTGAGATGTAGTACAACCTCTTTATAACACACACACATTCTAGCAGCAGGGGCCAATTTCTGCATTAATGAGACACGGAAAATTGACTAGTGAACACCTTCCTTGAATTAACACTTCTCCTGGTCCTGGGAAAGGTGCAGGGGTTATTAGAATGAGGTTGTATGCTTTGAAATAAAAGGGCTTCTGCTACAAGGCAGTGACTGTAATTGCAGGCACAGCAGGACAATAAGCAAGTAAGAATAAGGCTTCAAACTGCCAGAGAGTTTGAAAAATTACCCTTGCCCTCCAACACACCAGCCCCAGGAATACTAATAACTTGGGGACCATTTGAATCTATTTCAGGCTTAAATGGAACTTAAGTGATGGATAAACCTAGGGTGGCTTTTGCAGGTGACTGAATTTTTTCCAAGGTATGTTTGCCTATGCTAGCTCATTTCTGGAACTGCTTGAGAGGTATCCCTTTCTAAAATGCTCTGTTCTGTTTGGTGGTGGTTCCAATTATTTTTCTTTCAAGTTCTCTCTAGAGCTAAGATATGTAGGACTCCAGTGCTGAAGTTGCAGTGCAAGCTTTTTTCAGCCAGAATCCTAAAGCATGTTCTTGGCTGGCAGCCACTAAAGCAAGAGAGACAACAAACCTGTTTATAGTAGACATTTTATCGCTGGAAGAAAGTCAACAGACAAATTACTGCAACCTGCTTGAACCAGATCAGACCTCCTGGGAGTCAAAGCCAGGATTGTCTTGGGAGTGTTTGTTTTGTCGTTGTTTAAATGAACGAGGAAATCAACGAGTATATTCAAAGCAATCACCCAAGTAAGTAGTTGATTTGGACAGACAGCCCCCGAGCCACTACAAATGGAGCTGAGCAATTGCAGCTCTAGTTGGTCTCGGGCATTAATCATACCTGGATAAGCACAGGTGCTGCATGAGCTACAAATTTCACCTCGATCAGCTGCCAGGCTTTTGTCTGCTAAATTTAGGAGTGCAGTTTCTGTACTGGCTCCATCTGGAAGCTACCCTGAGTGAGGTTCTGAGTTGTCATCTCCTTGGGGCTTGTCTTCCTTGCTAAAAAGCTGTATCTTTTTTTTTATGTTTAATCTTTGGAAGGAACCAGGGTGCATCAGCTGTCCTGTGATGTAAAAAAGCAAATGGTGAGGGGGTCAAAATGCCCCTGGACTTATAGCAGGAGTAAGGGCTGAGGGACAAGAGGCAAGTGCTGGGCTGTACAGGACAGAATTAAGTAAAACGTTGCAGCTTTTTTTACACCATCAATTGAGTAGCCTGCAAACTGACCTTACTTAATAGACTAAAAGAGTTTGTAACAAGAACCCATACTGTCTCCCTCTGAGAGAACCTAGTAGGTAAAACGAATCAAAAGACAGACCAAAACCACAATATAATCTTAAAAAATTAAAGAAAAACAGATTTGGGGTCAATCTGATGATTTTTCAGTATCTCACTCATACATTTTGAACTTTGGGAGTTCACAATACTTCACTTTCCGCTTCCACAATTGAGCCATAAAAGGTTGCTTGCTGGCAGATGCTGTTCAAAGTTGGTGGACCTGGTCCCTCAGTCTCTCTGAAGGAATCTGCCTTCCCGCTAGCCATAGGACAACCCTTTCTAAAGGGAGAAAATAAAAACTGACCCAGATGTAGCCTTGGCTACAATAGATACAGCACTGTTATAAACCTAGCTAGATTTTGAAGCTGTGTCTTACATCTTCTAGGTGGAGCACTGCCTGATGTGTATGTAAAGTGTAGAAGATGCCTGAAATGCCTTCACAATGCCTTTATCTTTCAGCTGGTTGAATTAAACCCATTTGTGTCCAACAGAGATTGGAAACCTTAGTATTGGAGCTGCATGGGTCCTCTGCATCTCTTGCCACAAGGCAGTATGCTTGTCATCTGCAGTGCTGCTGGGTATTGAGATATATGCTTCGAGAGTGCCAGAATGCTGTGTATGTGTTTTGCCATAAGATTTACGTCCTTAGCAATATTGTTCTGTGGATGCACTAAACGTTCATAATGATAAGAAAGGCAATCAATCACTTCAAGCAGCCTGTGCCACTTCAGTGGTTTCCTCATAGACATACACACACAGCATCTGTTGCCTGATCCACAGAAACTAGATTGGAACAGCATTCTCCCAGCATTGAACTAGATCTTTGAAATTAGGTTCCTTTACCCTTAATGTAGTCATCGCTGCCCATAGGTGTTATGGTACTTATTTTCAGGAGCAATCAATTCTTTAGGCAGGTGAAATGAATTGGCAGAGAAACTGAGTGCATACATATTTCCCATGAAAGAAAAGGTAGTGTAAGAATAATGTTGTAGCTGTGATGGTCCAGAAATTCTGCAAGAGGCAAGGATTCTCTAGGGTGATATCTTTTAGGATAGGGACAGAAGTTACACACAAACCGGCATAATTGATTGGAATCTAGTTCAAATTGGTAATGTGACAGAAGTCCAGTGCGCATAAACCACTTTCAAAATGGTCAAAACTGGTTTAAGATAAATCAGTTTATTGAACAACTGTCCCAGATCCCACCCCTGCCCCCAGATTCAAGTCAACTCACAGTCCCACAGCATCCTAGGATGCTTTGTACCTTCCCCACAACCCTCCTGCGCAGGATAGGTGGGCTAGCCTTGGCCAAAGTTGTCCGCTTCAGCCAAGCAGGAAGGTATGCTCTAGCACCCACTGGCTTCTGGGCTGGGCTGCTGCAGGCATATGGCTACATTTCCAGAATCAAAAGTGAATCTGTTCATTTGGTTGTTGATTCAGTCTATACATCTTAGATTAACCTGTGAAGCTTGAATTGATTCAGCCTCAGGCTTTTTGACTGTTTGTACTTAGCTTTATTGGACTGACTACTAGGCCTGTGTGAAGCGGCTAGTATTCGCTTTGGATTCGGCCAGTTTCGGGGGACAGTGATTCGATTCGGTGATTCAATTGGGCTGAATCTTATTTGGAGATTCGGCTGCTGCCGAATCACCCAGGCCAGGCCCATCCCCTGCCTGCTGTCTCAGACCCAGCAATGGCTGCTCTGCCACGCCCAGCCCAGTTCCCAGCTTTTTGGGAGAAAAAAGCCCTGGTGCTCACCAGGTGCTGTGGGTGGGGCTCTTACACAACCTCCTGAAGCCCCAGGCTACTGCAGGAGCAGTGAGTCCCGGGGCTTTTCTTGGTTTTCTTTTTTCTTAAAGGGCCGGAGCTGGCCTGGGTGGGGCACCCATGGCAGGTGGGGGGTAGGGGGCTCATGCAGAGCCCCCCATGCAGTAGGGGGAAGTGGGGAATCACCCCCCCTCCTCCCCCTGCTGAGCACCAGGGCCTTTTTTTAAAGTACTGAGCTGGGCAGGGCAGGGGCACTCTATCACAGCTACATAGTTGGTCCAATAGAAGAGATTATCCTAAGGAATCCTTACCTCCACATTGTTAGGGATGTTAGCAAAAACAACACAGTAGAGAAGCAGCTGAAATAACCCAGTCCTCAGGTTCCTGCTTATGGGGGCTCTCAACTG